TAAATTCAGTTTTTTTACAGATCTTTGTAGTTAATGTAAAATGAATGACTATAATGAAGGGTATAAAACAAGGTGAAAGCTGAAAGGTATGTAATGAAGCCTTTATTAGATTGAGTTTGTAAATCCCAGAAATGAGTGGAAAATGCAAATCAACCCCAATTAAAACCAATAATTTGATATACATCATGATAGTTTTCTAGGGGAGGTAAACAAATTAAAAATATTTACCCCCCCTACAGAATCCTTATGTCCGCCCCTGCCTGGATTCGTTAAACATTTTCTAGCTGTGATAGCTGCGATTTCCCAGGCTAGCTAGGCGAGGAAGTCATAGCTAAAGCATAGCTAGAAAATGTCTAACGAATCGGAATACTTCCCAGAGGCGTAAATAAGGGGGGTGGAAACCGTCCTTATGGGGCGGGAGTCTGAAAGTGTAAATTTATTTGTGCCAAAGCGATATTTCTTCAAAGTAAAATATCAAAAATTAGAATCTTTCTTTAACTTTCTCCTGTTTTTATCTTTTTAATCACTAGGGAGGACTCGGAGGAGAGAGGGCTCCAATCTTNAACAATCTAAGTGAAATATGTAAATTGGATCTCCATAACTTTAATAATTTAATTGTAATTAATTAGCAAATGAAAATATTGCTAGTAAACAAATATTTGCTGCTTTAAAATTAACCGATTCATCTGTGAAATTATCAAAGATTGACTGCAGAAATTGCAGGTATGCAGGCTGCTATGGCATATGCAGCTGTTTTGTTTAATGATAATTATTATCAAGAAAGAATTCGTGTGTGTTATTTTGTCAAAATCTTATCTTTATACAAATGATAAATCATGCAGTTTTAGCATTTCTTATATTTGCATTTTTTCTTCTTTTTTCAATTTATTTACAAAAAATGAGGGTAAAGTACGAGCTCAGAAAGCGAGGAATAGGAAGACGACATTGACGCCCCAAATTTATGTATTCGATGATATGTTAATTTATGTATTCGATGATATGTTAATACAATGAAAACTTGAATCTCAGAGTCGTTTTCCTATTTAATATGCTTTGGTTTCTGATTTTCAATATGGCACAGTACTAGAACAAGATTTGTTGCTNTACAGAAACGAAGCAGAAAACGAAATGTCGTAAGATACGTAAGATGGTTTCTCTTTAACAATGTGATATTTTTGAAGTCTTCTTTTTGAATAATACGTCAGAATTATATAATTTTTCCTGTTACTTTACAGGGAGAACTAGAAAACATGTACACGAGGAAGACGGCTTTTGACTGCAGAGTTATGATTTTTAATATTCCAAAAACATGTAATATGTAATGTAACTGCCATAATCCATCCAGTAACACAGACTCATCTCATTTGTAAATAGATTTTAAGTCAATAGTAAAACTATTTGCTTTGTAACGCTCAAAATCAAATAGACATAAGGATTGCTTTTATGGCATCTTCTTATTCAATAGTTGTCTAGTTATCATACAGACAGCCAAAATTTTTATTTTAAATAATCTTTCTCTTGTGATTTTTAACAAAAAAATTTTTTTTTACCAATTTTTATGGTAATTATATCATTAGAACTGATGAGGGTCAACCCAGACCGAAAAATATTTTCAATAAATGTGGAACTAACATCTACTTTTTTACTCTAGAGGTTTGGTCCATCACCATCACCATCACCAAATTTTAAACTAGTTATCATAGTTTTGAAAAATAGACTGGATAAAGCGGATAGACTAAAAGGTGTCTAGGATTAAGAATGTGAAGTTAGGGAAATGACTGAGAGGAAAGAAAAAAACTGTAATGGGGGCGGGGGGGGGGAATGAAAGAATTAGGGAAGAAGATGATGATACCGTTTGAATGAAATTGAAAGGAGAAAAAGAAAATTTAAAGTTGAGGAGGAGAGGAGGGGGATTGATCAAAAAACAGTTCTCACTCTAGTTATTATTTTTACATCAAATTAATAATTCAAAAAAGTCATTTTTAACATTTTCATTTTCTTAGAATATCTTAATGCACTACTTTGTCATATGTATATTATATCCTTATCCATTAATCCTTCCTCCTTTATAAATTTTCGTTTTTTTACAATTTTTTTCTTTAATTTGAATATTTCTTTTTTCTCCATTTTTTCATAATTAAATATTTTATTCAATTTGCGGGAATTTAAAAACTTAATAATCCCCATTGAAGGATGATTTAAGTGACTTTATCGCCTTACAACAGGGCAAAAAAGTAACTTTTTCACCCTACTATTAAAATTTCAAATATTGTACCTAATTTTTCCCATTGTAGGGTGTTAAAGTTACTTAATTACCCTACAACAGGGTGATTAAGTAACTTTATCGACCTGCTTTAAACAAGTTGAGTAAAATTAAATAAAACTTTATATTTTATTGTAATGGGTATCATTATATTTTATCAACACAAACCCCTTATCAAGTTAATGCGTAATTCATATGAACTCGTATTATCTTTTTTCATGTATAAAATAGAAAATTAAAAATTTATTTCTTATAAATATTTTTAACGATAAAGATAAGTCTCAGGGACGATGAGTGAAATTTCAACTACAAGTGAATAAGGATCCTCTATTTACAGAATGGCATGTACAATTCACAATGGTACCCCTTTAAGTTAAACCTTTGACTGATGAAGATTGAATAATTAAGTTCCCAATGGTACCCCTTAAAGTTAAACCTTTGACTGATGAAGATAGAATAATTAAGTTCCCAATGGTACCCCTTCAAGTTAAACCTTTGACTGATGAAGATTGAATAATTAAGTTCCCAATGGTACCCCTTAAAGTTTAACCTTTGACTGATGAAGATTGAATAATTAAGTTCCCAATGGTACCCCTTTTTCAAGTTAAACCTTTGACTGATGAAGATTGAATAATTAAGTTTACAATGGTAACCCTTAAAGTTTAACCTTTGACTGATGAAGATTGAATAATTAAGTTCTCAATGGCACCCCTTAAAGTTAAACATTTGACTATAATGATCAGACTGAAAATGTAAAAATCTAAACAAAATGTGAAAATATTCAAAAGAATAGTGAAAAAATAGGTAATACATACATAGGTAATAAAATTGAGAATGAGAATTGGTCTAGAATTTAAAATCAGAATTCCGTTGCGCGGAATTAAAGGGCTCACAATTGCGCGCAAGTGAAATCCAATTGCGTATGAAACCAACGAGGTTATAGTATATAGAGTAATGATGTACGCTAGTCGCTAATCCTTTGCTAATTGTACTCTACTTTTAAAGGTCAATCTGTATATTACAGTACCCGGCGGTGAATTCTGAAAATATTTAAATGAAGAATTATCGAACTACTAAAATCCACTACTCTTTATCGTGTGCAGGATTCCATTTTCACAGGAAGATGTTCATTTACAGTCTTTTACAGAGCAATATTTCATCGTAACTGTTTTGAAACAAACTGAATAAAATTCAAGATACAAAACCTCCCCACACACTTGTACTCCGAAAGCGTACTGCATATTTGATATTAGTACTGCATGATTAGGATATAGTCTCTTAACATCGGTAAACTATCTCAAGTGTACACTCAGGCCAATACACACGGAGAGGTAGCTAAGATCCAGCCCCATGTTTTAAAACCTATTTGTAGAAATTTTAAATTTGTTTATTAAAGCTCTCTTTCCCTTTTAGCGTTGACATATCATGGTTTAAAATGTGAAAAATTTAGACTCCCCCCAAAATTTATTAAACCCCCAGTTCATAGTAAACTTCAATTATAGATTTCCAACTCGGCAGTTACGCAGTTAATTTCCAAGGCCAGATGCAACGTTATACGCAATATTACGCAATACTTGCATCTGAATGCATAATGCATATCTAACTAATCTAATCTATAAGTAATTCTAAAATTTAATAATGTTGCAACTTGCAAGCAAAAAAATTTGGAATGGAATAAAATTCAGTTTAAGAGGAAAAAATTTAGATTTATCTTTGCAAAATTTAAAACGTTTTTAAACCAAATTTGGTCCCTAGAAACAAAGTTTTTATTAATATTAACTTTTTAAATTACAATTAACATGTTTGTTCCGTAGAAAAAATAACGTAATTTTAAAACTTTTGTAATTATGATTTTTTGAGCTACTTTTTTTTACCCGTTTTGGGCACAAATTTTATCCAAAAACTCCTAATTTTCATTTAACAGAAAAATAAGAAACTTCAACAGAATCAATATTTTCAAAAATTACGATCAATTTATTCAAGAAAAATAATAGAAAACTCCTTAAAAAACAGACAAATAATAATTGGTACAAAACTACAAAAAAAAACATCAAAAAAGATTTTCCTGTATGAATATTAACATTTGAACAAAAACTTGAAAAAAAATACATTTTATTTTGCTAACTAATTTGGCTCCAGAATGGATTGTTTTATATAGTTTATCCGCTCCCAACGCGTGACAAAAGCCTAAAAATATATTATTTGATAATTTTGTTTAAAACCACTGAACATATCTCAAATAATAAAAAGTTTTTTTTTCAAAACAGAATCTGAAGTAAAAGATATCGACATCGATAAAAGATGAGACTGAAAAGACGACTTAAACCTCTATTTAAAGTTCTGGAATGCTATTAAGGATTCGTTTAAGGGACTGTAAGGGTAATTTTCAAGGAACCCTCCATGCAGTGCTTGGGATCCGGATCCGTTGGATCCGCAAGATTTTGGCTTCCTGGATCCGGATCCGAAATAATAAGCTGAACCACGGACCCGGATCCAAGGGGAAAAATATCAACCAAAAACTACAAAAAAAGTTTTACTCTTAAAACCCAACTCGGAACATTTTAAAAAAAAGAGATTATAAAAATTTTCTCATTTCTGAATGGTTCATCAAGGATCAGGATCCGGATTCGCATCAAAATTAAATGGATCCTAAGCACTGCCTCCAAGCATGACAATGCCCGATTCATAACAGTTGTGTCTGATCAAGAATAAATAAGAAATCAATGTTTAGAAATTTAAAAAACTAAATATTTTCCTAAATGGTTTATCTCCCTAAGGTGACTTTCGAGTTGACACTGCTAGAAACATTTAGTACAATTCTTCTACATTATTGATCAGATAAAGGTTACCAGGAAACCATTGTTTATCGAGCATTGCCATCCTTGCATGCATGGTCACTTGAAATTACGCGCACACTTCCTTTAAGCAGTTTTACCCAAGGAGATATTGAATAGAAGGAGGGGGTAATAGGGTTTCCGTACTTTGCTGTGACGTTTTTGGACTGCTGAAGAACTAGTTTTTGCGAAACAACAATAACAGGCAACCCATCTAATGAAAAAAACATGAGTTAATAAACTGTGAAAGTTGTATTATCTTGTTAAAAAAGATTGAAAAAGTTAAGGATTTTAGTTTTATACGGAAAGGACCTTATTACAGCGACATTTTCAATAATATTAAAAGTGTCCCCCCCCCCCCCCCTTTATAAATACGCCAGAGATGCCAGATGTCTGTTTATCATTTGTGTTATTGATTACAATATTTATTATTGTTGTTATGCAAAAACTAGTTCTTCAGCAGTCCAAAAACGTTACAGCAAAGTGTACGGAAACCCTATCGCCCCCTCCTTCTATTCAATTCTCCTTGAGTTTACCTATGGACATGATTTATGTGAATACTGCATCCTAGTCAGAGTATCCATTTTCCCCAGCTCAGCCTTCTTAGCCTCGTACGACTTCAAACTAATAAAACAAAATAGTAATTAACAATTCTGTTAGGGATTATATTATTTTAAGCTTCCCGGGCGCTTCGCGCACATCTCTTATTTTCACTTTTAATTGTGGCTCTATCTATGAGTATTTTCTCTTACAAAAAAAGGTTCGCTGGTTTAGTATTTTTTTTCTTGGCTTTACAAAATTTTAGGAAAATCAAAACTTTTTGTAAATCTCAGCATTCACAAACCTTCCTTGAGTGATTTGCCTCAAAAATGTTAGCCTCTTTAAATATGATTATTTCAAGGTTAAATAAAGTCTTATCGCTTCTGCTTTGAATTTAGTCTTTAATGTAAGCCATTAAAAGACTAAATTCGAAGCAGAAGTGATAAGACTTTCAATGATTTGGCGCAGAACAAAACAAGATTAATATAAGGAAACAGACCGCATTAATTTCGTACAGTAGTCTCCAAAGTATGTGGGAAACCCTGTTCTTGAAAAAAATGAACTTTAGTTCTGCTTGCACAATAAAAAGCACTAAACAATAAGTAGAGTAAAGTGAGTTATCGGGTAATATAAAAAAATTGCTATATTAGATTATATCTATCTTTAAACCCCAATATCATTGCAAGTACAGATGTTAACCTTACCTAAATTACTTCTTAATAAAATATTATCATCAGCTTTGTATATCTTTAATCAGCTTTGTATATCTTTAATCAGCTTTGTATATCTTTAATCAGCTTTGTATATCTTTAATCAGCTTTGTACATCTTTAATCGCGAAACTTTTTTTCACTCCGTGTAACATTTAGAAGACATTGAAAAAGAAGTATGCAAAATAATGCATTTTTGAAATTTTAAAGCTAAGAAATGCAATTCATGAGCTAAGCTTTGTAGGGTTTATTAATCATTTTTTTAAATATCTTTTTTCCATATAGATCTATAGTAGCTCCTATGTCAATTTTGTAAGTATTGCATATTAAAAGTTATGCATACTTCAAAACTGTTAAAATATTTTCGTAAATTGAATGATTTGGTTTTACATGAAATTCCGGAGTTTGGTTATAGTTTTACATTACAATAAAGGTAAAAACGGCTGAACCAATCAGGACCACATTTTTTGTGGCAACTCACAGGAAAGGTTATGGATAATCAGAATAAAAAACATTTGCCAACAAAAAATCTCGGATTTCGTGAAAATCCGCAAAATTTGTTTGTTGCTGTTTCATAATGTACGAAGAGAAAATGCTCAGCAATAGAGAAAGAACAAGAACCTGCCAGGAGGAAGTGAAAATGGAAGTGGAAGTGAAAAAGGAAGAGGCAGGAAAAGGGAAAAGGAAGAGGAAAGCACCAGGAAAATTATTTTTTTGCGACATTTTATTTTATTTGAGTTGATATAAAATTTTCTAAATAAGATTAACTTTTTTTTGATAATTTTTATGATTTTTTAATAATAAGAGAAAGATTTCTTATTGAGAAAAGTTTTTAAACTTTTATTCATGCTAGGGGTAAATAATATCAAAACCAAATAATTTAAATCTTTTTAAAAAGTTCGTTCACGTCAGATTAAGGTGTTTATCTGTGTTCTTGTTTTTAAAAAGGAGAAATAATTTTAACGTTTTTCTTAGGAATTAACTTATGAAAAATAGTGTGTCTATAAACATTTTTACTGAACCAGCTTAAACGAGTGTAAAATGATAAAGTTTAACACTACTTTCAAATACCGCAATTTTTAACAATCTAAGTGAAATATATGACCAAATACAGCAATTTGATATGCTTTAAAGCAACCTGTGTATCTGAAGCAATGATCAATCATTTCCATTTTTTACTTCGGTTTCTTACTCAAATATCTTCAACATATATGTTTTTTTAAACAATTTGTGTTTAACTATCTGAAAATCTGAGTTTAACTATAACCAAATAAAGCACTTTGCTCTACAGTCCCTGATCACAAAGTACTGTCCTTAATGTGCTAGTGTGCGTCATTTATAAATAAATTTAATTAACCTGCTTGGTAGAATTAGAATAGATAAAACAGCAAAGATCCCAATATATCCAGCAATCTGCCATCGAGCCATCTTGCAATCCTAGAAACAATAATTTGTCATTCAATCCTAGAAATAGATATTTGTCATTTAATCCTAGAAGAAGACATTTGTCATTTAATCCTAGAAATATATATTTGTCATTTAATCCTAGAAATAGACATTTGTTATTTATCCTAGAAATAGACATTTGTCATTTAATCCTAGATAGATATTTGTCATTTAGTCCTTAAAATAAATATTTGTCATTTAATCCTAGAAATAGATATTTGTCATTTAATCCTAGAAAAAAATATTTGTCATTTAATCCTAGAAATAGATATTTGTAATTTAATCCTAGAAATAGACATTTATCATTTAATCCTAGAAATAGATATGTCATTTAGTCCTTGAAATAAATATTTGTAATTTAATCCTGGAAATAGGTATTTGTCATTTAATCATTGAAAAAGGTATTTGTCATTTAATCCTAGAAATAGGTATTTGTCATTTAATCCTAGAAATAGATATTTGTCATTTAATCCTAGCAATAGGTATTTATTATTTAATCCTAGAAATAGGTATTTATCATTTAATCCTTGAAATAGATATTTGTCATTTAATCCTAGAAATAGGTATTTGTCATTTAATCCTTGAAATAGATATTTGTCATTTAATCCTAGAAATTTATATTTGTCATTTAATCCTTGAAAGAGATTTAGTCCTTTAATCCTAGAAATATATTTTTGACATTTAATCCTAGAAATAGATATTTATCATTTAATCCTTGAAATACATTTTTGTCATTTAATCCTAGAAATAGGTATTTATCCTTTAATACTAGAAATAGGTATTTTTCATTTAATCCTTGAAATAGATATTTGTCATTTAATCCTAGAAATAGGTATTTATACTTTAATACTAGAAATAGACATTTATCATTTAATCCTAGAAATAGATATTTGTAGTTTAATCCTAGAAATAGATATTTATCATTTAATCCTAGAAATAGATATTTGTCATTTAATCCTAGAAATAGATATTTGTTATTTAATCCTTGAAATACATTTTTGTCATTTAATCCTAGAAATACGTATTTATCCTTTAATACTAGAAATAGGTATTGAAATAGATATTTGCCCTTTAATTAAAGAAGGGCTTATCTTTGATCCAGAATCGACTATGATATATGAAAGAATGCTGGGTTCAGATTTAATGGCATGGTTTAATCTCTTTTGTGTGCCGGTGTGAGGTTAAAAAACAGCCTGAGGTAATATTACGCCCGGGAAGTATTTTTCCCAACAATATTTAAAAATGAAAGCATTGATAAACACTTAGGAATATTGTTAAATAAGTTTTTAAATTATGCAATATTAGAAAAAAAATGTTAAAACCAATATTCCGTCTCGAAAGCAGTGTTCCATTAAAAAAATTAACCCCATAACTCCTATCCCTTGCACATGAAAAAATTACTTTATAATTTGACGTAAAATGTAAACGAATCTATTAAAATTTTAAAATACAGTTACCCGAGGGCGAATTTAAAGAATTTGAGCCGCGCCTTAACTTTGAGACGCGGCTCAAAAATGGTTGGTTCAACTTGAAATTGTATTTAATGTTTCAAGATTTGGGCCGGCGCTCAATTGAAAACCGGTTTATGAGGCGAGGCTCAAATTCATTAAATTGGGACCCCGGACGCTTTTTAACAGAAGTGGTTCAACTTAGTTTTAGTGTTTCAATAAAGTTCCGTTTCGCTATCCATAAAATCTTATCCCTGATTAGGAAATCAATTTTTACTTTATCTAAGACAGCTCATGAAGAAGTAAGAATTGAAAAATATGAGGAAACATACTTGTTGGCTCAATATTTTAATTTGTTTACCTTGTTTTCGATGTTTTTGCATTGCATAGGACATGTTCTGCAGTTGGTGTACCCTCCTATATTACCCACTCCAGTACTTGCAGCTCGCCTGGAAAAAAATTTTAAATATTAAATGTAACGTATTTTTAAGTTACCCCCATTTACGAGAGTTGCATGTTCGATTCACATCTGATTAACAATTAGGAAAATATCGTGGTTTTTGTCTTGAGAAGATATTTGAAATTTTTTTTCTTCTCTCTGCTGCATAATTCCGCAAGTGGAAATTCCTGACATAAGATTTTGGGAAAACTTCCGGAAGTTTTTCAGAAAAAAAATTAGATTGAAATGAAACGTTGAAGTATATATTTTGGTAATTTCCTAGAGAACAATTTTTGGACCCCCTATCCGCTTGATTTTGTTTTCTACATTTAATTTGTTAAATAATTTTAAAACACGCAATATGAGAAAAAAATAAAGGTTTGTATTCGTTCTTGTGTTTCCCCATAACATCCAGGGGCCAGCGAGAAAAATACTGATTGAGAAAATTCCATTCCATTTGACCGAAGGCCAAAGAAAATATTTTCATTTATTACTTTGTAATCATCTTATTTCATGATTACAGTAATAATTTTATGATAAAAGCTACGAAGTACGTACTGCACCTCCTTGGTTTAAAGATAAGCTTGACAACTAATCAAAACTGAGTTTCTTGCAAATCTTTTGTTTAACTGACTGACTGATTATTCGAGTTCACTGCGCCTGCGTAAATTTTCTCTCTCTCTCTCTCTCGTCCTCTCTCTCTTCTGAAACTCACGTATTTTTGTAAAGTTCGTAGTTCAGATAAAAATGTTCTTCCAAAAAAAATATTTAAAGAACGGTTTTTTTAACAAGAAATTTTTTTTTACAAATTTAAGATTTTAAACTGTTTTTTCTAATATAATATAATCATGAAATTTACATAATAAGTATTTATTTGGTCGGTTATAGGAGTTCTATAGTACACATAGTACTAGTGCAGAGGGGAAGGGGCAGGGGGGGATGCATTCGAATCAGGGGCGTATGTATACACCATATAGCCCCCCCACCCCCC